GAGGTGCATGTGGCGCTCGTCACGTTTGGATGCTTTACAACTAGGAGTTGAATCAATTCAAGAAATGGAAGAATTAATCTGACTGTGTGGATATAAAAATCTTAACGGATGAAACTATATTGCAAATAGCCACATTTGTTTGTTGAATGACTGATTGTTTGTTTTTATTTGATGGAGGGTTATAAATAGGAGATGGTCGGATTTCTCTCTGTGAGGTTATGAGCACTATTTATTTTATTAAGGTTATTAATTTTATTTTTTAAAAGTCTTTTTATAAAAATATAATTGTATTAATAATTAATCAAATATAATGTAAGCTATAACCAGTTATATAGATTCTTAAACTTATAACATAAAGAGATAAAGTTAAATGTTTCCTACAAATAAAATAATTAAAAATAGAAAACTCATAAATATTAGTGATTTAATAAGTTTCATTTTCTTTACTTCTTTTTATAGGGATAATATATATTGACAAAAATAAAAATTATTCCTAAATTATTAATGAAAAATAAAATAACATTTATTATTTTAAGAAAAAAATACGAAAAGGAAAAAAATTATTTATTAAAAATTATATTCAAAAAATAAAAATTACAAATAATACTTTCATCTTTCTCTTATTGTAATATTAAAATATAAAAGCATGCTAGATAACCTATCTTATTATAAATTAAACAAATAAATAGGTGTTTCAACTTGTACATTTCACTTAACATCTCACATATTTCATATTCATTTAACTTCATTTAGAATTTTATTAAATCACATATATGAAACTACCATATTCATAAAATCAATATATTCGTGAAACTACGTATTTATGGGATTAGTAAGTTCTGTTTAATATTTTAATTAAATTTTATTCCTAAATTTAGTTAAATTTATCTATTAAATTTATTTAATATTCATTCTTCTCTAACCTATATATAAGTTTATATTGTATGAAAAAGATATTAAAACTATAACTAAAAATAAAAATAGAGGAATAAAAAGTATTATTATTTGTCATACTTTCTTCTCTTTTCTCTTCTTTTTCTCCTGTGTATTTGGGTTGAAGGGAATGAAAGAGAGGGGAGAGGAGCATAAAATTTTTCTTTATTTGATTATAAAAAATTAGAGGGGAGTAGGAAGGAAATTTTTATTTTATTAATTTATCTAAAGAAAAATAAAAAGATAAAATTTTCTTTTTTATTTTCTTCCCCTCTTTATTTTCCTTAATTTAAACATGTGATTTATAATTTTGTGCTACTTTTTTCTTATTTAATTACTACTTATTTTATAAGATACCTACAATTTAAAAGAAAAAAAAGTGAAAAAACCATTTCCCCGAGCAAGCGCTTTTTTTTTTCTTATTTTTACCCTGACCAACAAGCGTTGTTGTTGTTATAAGATACCTACAATTTAAAAGAAAAAAAAAGTGAGAAAACCATTTCCCCGAGCAAGTGCTTTTTTTTTCTTATTTTTACC